GCAAAAAAGTTTCTTTGATGTTTGCCCAGCGTGAATTTGACCTTTGATATAGGCCAACTCCTGTTCCCCTCCTTCTCAAGGACCATGCACCCAAGCTCTTAGACCACAGCTTTGCTTGGTTACATTTGAGTGCTCTTAGCACACATTCTCCAGTCAGCTAACCTTCCAGATCATGGTGAATGGGTAAACACTTGCAAAATTAGGACTAAGTAGGTGACCCAGCAGTATGACTAAACAGCACAGGGTGCACAAATTTCATGACTGCCTCCATTAAACTGTCAGCTCCTGGGGGCATAGGCTTAACTTCTCCTTATTCTGGCACCCAGGGCTCAAAGAAAACTCCTGACATAAGGAACAAGTAAAGTTTAAACAAACCTGGGTGATGCAAGTATAGATGTTTATTTTATTACTATGTGGAATGTTTGAAATATATCACAATTGAAAAAAAGGTTTGTGTACTCACTAGGAAACTGTAAGCCATTTGAATCAATGGGTTTCAGAGTATTATCACATTATCTTTAGCAGTATGTGTATTAAGGTAATAATGTCTGGTTCTGGGTTAGATAATTTTGCTGAAAAAATGAAATCAGCTGTAAATAATACTATTTTGAAGATAGGTTCCTTCTTTTAAAAACATAATTTTGTTAAATATCATAAGTTTAAAGTCTAATAATGGCTTGGTAAATTCTAAGTGATGACTTCACAACTATAACATTGTTTATATAGTTCCCTGGGAACACATTTTAACATTTAAGAGATTTTAATACTTTATTCAGAATTTTTTCTTTAGGTACCATTCTGAGGTCAAGGCTGCATTTCCAATATATGAGTAATCTCCAAAGAGACGTTCTGCTTATCACTTGTAATTTAAAGGTTTTTAAAGAGTACATAACCTCAAATTCATCTGCAGATTCAGCACAATCCCTATTCTAGCTGGATGTTTTTGTAAAATGTACACGCTGATCCCAAAATTCAAATGGAATGCAAGGGACCCAGAACAGCCAAAATAATCTTGAAAAAAAAGAACAAAGAGGGTTCATATATCCCAATTTCAAACATTACCACTACAAAGCTACAGCAATCAAGGTATTATGGAACTGGCATGTGGATAAAAATTTAGAACAGAGGAATAGAACTGAGAGTCCAGAATTAAACCCTCAACTGATTTTCAACAAAGATGCCAAGACAACTAATTGGGCAAAGAATAATCCTTTCAACAAACCATGTTGGGACAACTGATTTTGTATGATATCAACACATAAAGAATGACGTTGAATCCTTCCCTTACAAGAATCACAAAAATTAAAGGTAAGACTAAAACTATAAAGTTCTTTGAAGAACATATAGGAGTAAATCTTTGTGGCCTTGAATTAGACACGTGTTGGTGAGGATGTTGAGCAATTGGAATCTCATATATTGCTGGTAGAAATATAAAATGGTGCAGCCAATTTAGAAAACAGTTTGGTGGGTCCTCAAATGCTAAACACAGATCATATGACCCATCAATTTCACCCTAGATATGTACACCTAAGAGATTAAACATCAACAAAAAAACTAAATCTGTACAAAATCTTTTACATGCAAGTCCATAGCACCATTATTCATAAGAGCCAAAAAGAAGAAACAACCCAAATGTCCATACAGTGATGAAAGGGTAAATAAAATGTGGTACATCCATACAATCGAATATTAGCCATAAACAGTAAGGAGGCACAGACCCATGTTACAATACAGATGAATATTGATAACGTTGTGCTAAATAAAGGAAGTCGGTCACAAAAGACCACAGACTGTCTGATTCCACTTTCATGTAATGTCCAGATTAGGCAAATCTAGAGGCAGAACGCAGTCTAGGCTGAGTCCTTGGGGAGAAAATGGGGAGCTGCTTTTGCTTTCTCCTGTTCTCTTTTTTTCCTCAAGGAGTTATTCATTCAAGTCAATCTATTCAACTTCAGAAGTGTTAGTAAGTAGTAGAGAGTTTTTATTCTAATAAAATAACCATGTGGGGTTTGTGACTGTGGTTCACTTGAAACCCAAATTTTATAAACACAATCATTACAACACAGGCAGTAGGAAAGACAGGCGGCTATGACAGACACCAGCCAAAGCAAAACAAAAGAATAAGGTGACAATAACATTTTTCCATGTTAGATTCTTGGAATAACGTTGCTCTGATGGGTCAGACCAAGAGAATGAAGGCTGAAATTCTTCCCAGATACTGACATTTTAATGGAGTCATCCTATGGACTGTGACTGTTTTAAAGCAGAAACAATGATTTGGAAGCGCACATCTAGAAAGACATGAAATTTGCGTTTCCTATTGATGGGACATTTTTAATAGCAGTGAGGACATTCCAGTCCCCAGTTTAAGAAGAAAAACAAAGAAGGAAATGAAAAGGAAACTCAATGGAAAAGAATAACAAGTGGACCCATTAGAGCAGAAATCTCATCTTCCATCACAAATCCTGACCAACGGGAAACAGGAGGACGGAGCTGAGTAGATAAATTCCTTTCTCCCCTCTAGAGACCACTCCAAGCTCCTGCATACATCCTCCCAGAGGTGTCTGCTGACGTACTGCTGCGTTCTCCCAGCTGGGCATGAAGCAGAAACTAGCACAACTCGCCTGAAGAGGACGGGATACAAACTGCCACAAACCCACCTGACGCTCCAACATGGGCACTCCAACGGCACCCCCTCAACACCCCTCTCAGAAGCGACACAATGATCTTGGAAAGTTAAGCTTCTAACAAAATGGATTCAACAGTCGGTTGGAAAATGGTTAAGTTTCTTAAAGCTCTCTTTTTTACAAGAGGCACTCTATGGATTAACATTTGCAATCAAAAAGAATCAAAAGATGTCCATCCGATCTAGCTGAATGAAAAGCACAATTAAGACAGCATATCAAGAATGAATATTCTGTTATACACAGAGGGAAGAGGAGAGGATCCTTTTACATTCCAGTGCTTCAATAAAAAAATTTTTTAACAGTGGAAATACCTTGGTGGCAGGATTTCTGGATCATTTTACTCTCAAATTTATGGATTTTATGTGATTTTTCTAGCAGAACAGAACTATAAAGCTCAGGACTCAGACTGCTGGATTCAACTTTCAGCTTTATGTTTTATTGGCTGTGTGATCTTGAGCAAGTGACCCAACCTCTCTGTGCCTTGGTGGCTTCACCCATAAATGGCAATAAAAATAGGCCCTTCCTCAGAGTGCTGTGAGAGAACCCAATGCATAGCATGCTGAAGGCACTCAGAACAATGCATGCATGGAACAGAGCAAGCTCTCATAAAACATGTCAGTGGTACTGTGAATCCTAAGCCAGCTCTTTGTAAAAGCGAGTTACTGTGCTCATTAAAAGCACTGCAAAAGCAACTACTTCATGGCCAAATGTAAAAAGGGGAAGGAGGAAACCTCTCTGCCTAAGTTTAAATAACAATTAAAAACAAAAACCGAGCAGACCTGTGCACTACATACATACCTATGTAGTATGTAAGGAAGAGATACTGTAAGTATGTAGAGAAGATATGTAAAGAAGAGGTCCCTAAGTAGACACTTTTTCCCTGGACCCATCACCTCATCTCGGGAGTCAGCATGCACAGCTGCCTCACAGTTAGAGGTGCTCCTGGCAATGGCTTCATGCGTGCAAGTCTGTGCTTTTGATTGAACATCAAGATAGAAGACATTCTAATGAGGTTGGCATTTGTTGGCCAAAGATTTGTCCTATTTAAAAAAGAAAAGGAATCTTTAAAATGCCTTAACCTACAAACCCTGGAACATTCATTTTAAAAGGGGATTTATATAAAATGAAAATTATATAAGCACATACTTGATTTGTTAGGGGATGATAATGAAAATTATGGATTACCCTGGACCCTGGATTTTTTTCCCTTGAGAGAGAGAGACAACAAACAGGATCAGTAAGTGAAATGAACTGTATATCAGAAAGTGATAAGAGCTATGGAGAAAAATGATGTGAGAGTAGAGAGGAAAAAGAGGACGTGCTGATACTTAAATAGGTGGGTAGAGAAAGTGACATGTGAGCTTGAATCAGACAAGGGAAGTTCAATCCTTCTTTCATCTTTGATGACAGTTGTGAGCAGACTGAAGTTCTTGGTTAAGACAAGATGCCGGTGATCCCTGTGCATCATTTACCCTGGCCACCCCTTTCAATGTTGGTAACACATACTCTAGTTATCATACAAATATCCTGTTATAGACACAGTCTGTGTTGGTATTATTTCACTTTTAAAATCTAAAGACACAGTTCTTGAATAATCTTCTCAATAAATATTTTCAGCAAATAAAAAGCATTATCAGTAAGAGAGAAGTCATCAGCTGTTTCTGGTAACCCAACGTCCACTCCCCCATATTCTAGCTGAGAACCCAGATTTTCCTCGGGGAACTAAGCCTACTGGACTTCCAGCCATTGTGGCTCAGGTGGGGCAGAAGCAGCCCTACCTCTGGGGGAAAGTGTATCACTTGGCCCTACAGTACGAGCACCAAATACTCCTTGAACACTAGAGAGCATGACATTCAGGCATGTAACATGAGACCCAAACCAGGCCAATGAGAACCACAGGCACTGAGATGTGAGGTGGGCCTCATGATAAAGAATGCTCTTCTTCGCGAGGTGGCTAAAGGGAGACTGTGGTCCTGGAGTTGCTTCTGGGGCCATCTGGATCATCTTGGGAAAAGGAAGGAAGTGGGCTGCCTAAAAATGAAGCCAATCTAAAGGTCAGCAAGCAAAGAGAAAGGAATAGAGATGGGTGCATTTGATAATACATTTGGAGGACTTGAACTCAGCCCTGCCTTAAGATAGCCACCCCTTTACATATTTCACATAGTGGAAGAGTATATTACCTTCATTGCTTAAATCATTGCAAGCTGGATTTCTGTCACTTGCAACCAATAAGAGTCTCACCAAATACAAAGAAACTTTCAGCAACAGATCTCAGTGTTTTCCCCCAGAAAGCCAACTGCAGCGTACACTTACCCGTTCCTGGCCAGCAGTGTCCCAGATGAGGAACTTATGAAGTTCATTTCCACAAGGTACAGTTTTGGTCATAAAAGATGCCCTGAAAAAGAGAATCAGCATCTCCACATTACCAATTGCCCTTTCAACCTTCACAAAGACTCCTGCTTCAAAGAAGTTCATGTTATACCTCAGCAGGACTCCACAACTCCTTCCTGGGGGGCCACTAACAGGGAAGGTTGTGAGGGGCCTGTCACCCAAAAGACAATATGCTGCATTCTCTCTTAGTACAACTGGAGGAAACTTTTTTAAGGAGACAAAAAAATCCAAAAATGCATTCCAAACACTGTTTCCAAAACGCATTGTTCTAATATAACATGTTCAATTGTTCTAAATAATATGCCCCCAAATCTCAGGAAAGAAAATACAGTTTAAAAAACTTCTTATTATGACAATTAAGAGTGGCAAGGGAAGCTAGTATTTGGGCATTTTACTATTAGGACTTGCAATGGCACAGATACAAATTGCCTGACATACTTGGGCTACGAATACAACTCTAGTAGCAACTGACAGGGCACTCACTCTGTCTAATCCCCATCCTGCCTGCACACATGTCGGGATAAGGGCTGGTGCTTAACACATATTTCTGTTTTCTCCATTAAAAAAAGAAGAATTTGAAATTCTCAGTGGATAATGAAACACTTGGTATTTTATTTTTTGTATATTTCCTCTTAATAAGCTTTCTCTTTGTGCTCATGAAAGATATAAAAATCCAATACAAGTAATGCTTGTACCCTTGACTTTTTTTCCCTGTGAGATAAAGCTTCCCATTCATTAAAATACAGCAAGGTAGTGGGACAACTAGCCATGACAGCCTCCTGACATCACAACTGGCCTGAAGGGTTCAAATAAGTTCATGTCATGAAAAGCAAACAAAACAAAAGGCAAGATTGTTCTAGAATCTAGATTAAGAGAAGAAAGAGATAAAACAACCAAGGCACTATTTGAACTGGATATGGGATTAGGAGGACATCAGCTTTAAAAGACATTTTGAAGACAATTGGAGAAATTTAAATTTAGGCTAAACAGCAGACATCATTGAATCAAAATTAATTTTCACGGTATGATAATGGTGGCCTCATCATGGTTCTATAGTTAGGAGATGCACACTCAGTGTTTAGGGAGGGGTAAAGTGTCCAGATGTGTTCCCTCACTTAAACACAGCCCAGCCGGCCCACCCACCCAGTAGGGTCCAGCCCTCACCTACTTCTCCCCAAGAAAAGCTCTCTTTTTTACAAGAGGCACTCTATGGATTAACATTTGCAATCAAAAAGAATCAAAAGATGTCCATCCGATCTAGCTGAATGAAAAGCACAATTAAGACAGCATATCAAGAATGAATATTCTGTTATACACAGAGGGAAGAGGAGAGGATCCTTTTACATTCCAGTGCTTCAATAAAAAAATTTTTTAACAGTGGAAATACCTTGGTGGCAGGATTTCTGGATCATTTTACTCTCAAATTTATGGATTTTATGTGATTTTTCTAGCAGAACAGAACTATAAAGCTCAGGACTCAGACTGCTGGATTCAACTTTCAGCTTTATGTTTTATTGGCTGTGTGATCTTGAGCAAGTGACCCAACCTCTCTGTGCCTTGGTGGCTTCACCCATAAATGGCAATAAAAATAGGCCCTTCCTCAGAGTGCTGTGAGAGAACCCAATGCATAGCATGCTGAAGGCACTCAGAACAATGCATGCATGGAACAGAGCAAGCTCTCATAAAACATGTCAGTGGTACTGTGAATCCTAAGCCAGCTCTTTGTAAAAGCGAGTTACTGTGCTCATTAAAAGCACTGCAAAAGCAACTACTTCATGGCCAAATGTAAAAAGGGGAAGGAGGAAACCTCTCTGCCTAAGTTTAAATAACAATTAAAAACAAAAACCGAGCAGACCTGTGCACTACATACATACCTATGTAGTATGTAAGGAAGAGATACTGTAAGTATGTAGAGAAGATATGTAAAGAAGAGGTCCCTAAGTAGACACTTTTTCCCTGGACCCATCACCTCATCTCGGGAGTCAGCATGCACAGCTGCCTCACAGTTAGAGGTGCTCCTGGCAATGGCTTCATGCGTGCAAGTCTGTGCTTTTGATTGAACATCAAGATAGAAGACATTCTAATGAGGTTGGCATTTGTTGGCCAAAGATTTGTCCTATTTAAAAAAGAAAAGGAATCTTTAAAATGCCTTAACCTACAAACCCTGGAACATTCATTTTAAAAGGGGATTTATATAAAATGAAAATTATATAAGCACATACTTGATTTGTTAGGGGATGATAATGAAAATTATGGATTACCCTGGACCCTGGATTTTTTTCCCTTGAGAGAGAGAGACAACAAACAGGATCAGTAAGTGAAATGAACTGTATATCAGAAAGTGATAAGAGCTATGGAGAAAAATGATGTGAGAGTAGAGAGGAAAAAGAGGACGTGCTGATACTTAAATAGGTGGGTAGAGAAAGTGACATGTGAGCTTGAATCAGACAAGGGAAGTTCAATCCTTCTTTCATCTTTGATGACAGTTGTGAGCAGACTGAAGTTCTTGGTTAAGACAAGATGCCGGTGATCCCTGTGCATCATTTACCCTGGCCACCCCTTTCAATGTTGGTAACACATACTCTAGTTATCATACAAATATCCTGTTATAGACACAGTCTGTGTTGGTATTATTTCACTTTTAAAATCTAAAGACACAGTTCTTGAATAATCTTCTCAATAAATATTTTCAGCAAATAAAAAGCATTATCAGTAAGAGAGAAGTCATCAGCTGTTTCTGGTAACCCAACGTCCACTCCCCCATATTCTAGCTGAGAACCCAGATTTTCCTCGGGGAACTAAGCCTACTGGACTTCCAGCCATTGTGGCTCAGGTGGGGCAGAAGCAGCCCTACCTCTGGGGGAAAGTGTATCACTTGGCCCTACAGTACGAGCACCAAATACTCCTTGAACACTAGAGAGCATGACATTCAGGCATGTAACATGAGACCCAAACCAGGCCAATGAGAACCACAGGCACTGAGATGTGAGGTGGGCCTCATGATAAAGAATGCTCTTCTTCGCGAGGTGGCTAAAGGGAGACTGTGGTCCTGGAGTTGCTTCTGGGGCCATCTGGATCATCTTGGGAAAAGGAAGGAAGTGGGCTGCCTAAAAATGAAGCCAATCTAAAGGTCAGCAAGCAAAGAGAAAGGAATAGAGATGGGTGCATTTGATAATACATTTGGAGGACTTGAACTCAGCCCTGCCTTAAGATAGCCACCCCTTTACATATTTCACATAGTGGAAGAGTATATTACCTTCATTGCTTAAATCATTGCAAGCTGGATTTCTGTCACTTGCAACCAATAAGAGTCTCACCAAATACAAAGAAACTTTCAGCAACAGATCTCAGTGTTTTCCCCCAGAAAGCCAACTGCAGCGTACACTTACCCGTTCCTGGCCAGCAGTGTCCCAGATGAGGAACTTATGAAGTTCATTTCCACAAGGTACAGTTTTGGTCATAAAAGATGCCCTGAAAAAGAGAATCAGCATCTCCACATTACCAATTGCCCTTTCAACCTTCACAAAGACTCCTGCTTCAAAGAAGTTCATGTTATACCTCAGCAGGACTCCACAACTCCTTCCTGGGGGGCCACTAACAGGGAAGGTTGTGAGGGGCCTGTCACCCAAAAGACAATATGCTGCATTCTCTCTTAGTACAACTGGAGGAAACTTTTTTAAGGAGACAAAAAAATCCAAAAATGCATTCCAAACACTGTTTCCAAAACGCATTGTTCTAATATAACATGTTCAATTGTTCTAAATAATATGCCCCCAAATCTCAGGAAAGAAAATACAGTTTAAAAAACTTCTTATTATGACAATTAAGAGTGGCAAGGGAAGCTAGTATTTGGGCATTTTACTATTAGGACTTGCAATGGCACAGATACAAATTGCCTGACATACTTGGGCTACGAATACAACACTAGTAGCAACTGACAGGGCACTCACTCTGTCTAATCCCCATCCTGCCTGCACACATGTCGGGATAAGGGCTGGTGCTTAACACATATTTCTGTTTTCTCCATTAAAAAAAGAAGAATTTGAAATTCTCAGTGGATAATGAAACACTTGGTATTTTATTTTTTGTATATTTCCTCTTAATAAGCTTTCTCTTTGTGCTCATGAAAGATATAAAAATCCAATACAAGTAATGCTTGTACCCTTGACTTTTTTTCCCTGTGAGATAAAGCTTCCCATTCATTAAAATACAGCAAGGTAGTGGGACAACTAGCCATGACAGCCTCCTGACATCACAACTGGCCTGAAGGGTTCAAATAAGTTCATGTCATGAAAAGCAAACAAAACAAAAGGCAAGATTGTTCTAGAATCTAGATTAAGAGAAGAAAGAGATAAAACAACCAAGGCACTATTTGAACTGGATATGGGATTAGGAGGACATCAGCTTTAAAAGACATTTTGAAGACAATTGGAGAAATTTAAATTTAGGCTAAACAGCAGACATCATTGAATCAAAATTAATTTTCACGGTATGATAATGGTGGCCTCATCATGGTTCTATAGTTAGGAGATGCACACTCAGTGTTTAGGGAGGGGTAAAGTGTCCAGATGTGTTCCCTCACTTAAACACAGCCCAGCCGGCCCACCCACCCAGTAGGGTCCAGCCCTCACCTACTTCTCCCCAAGGTACTACTTCTCCCCAAGACTAAGAGGCAAACTACTGAAGCCCCAGGTGGAAAAGTGTATGTCCCATCAGTTTCTTCACTCCCACACCACAGACATACACACCCCAAAGGTTAATAGGGAGTTCTAACACTCAGTCTACAATTGTACTAAATGGAAACTCTAAAAAATTTTTCTAAGTGATGGAGCCCAATATTATCAAAACCAGACCTGTCTCATTTATTTTTTAGACTGAGAAGAAGGGTAAACTTTCAGTTTATTTTTTCTTCTTTTCAAAGTTGTTTTCAAAATATTTATTTTGAATTAAGTTGTTGGGAAAACATACTTTTAAAAAAAATTAAAGTATCATTACTATACAATC